ATTATCCTTTAGTTATAATCAAGGCATTTAGCTCAGCTTAATATAAAAAAAGAGAAACACACATTAAGTAAATGCTTTGATGCACCACTACTTTTCAGAGTCGTCAAGCTCACTTTTTAGTTTCACTTATCGCATTAAGAAATAACATTGAGTCATCCATCACACCAACAACCTTTTTTTTTCATAATGACAACTAAGTTTCAACATGAGCAGTTTAGTCATCCATTAGTCATGTATCCCATCCAGATGTCTGGTGCAGAAGAGAAGGGGAGGAGGCAATAGCAGCAGGTGTAGATCTCTATGAGCCCAGCTGAGCTCTAAAAGGCAGTGCTTAACACCCACAGCTCCATCATCTGGCCTCTCCCCTGTCTCCACAAGCCTCTCGACAGCCCATTCCTCATCATTTACCCCTTTTTGGCAAAGCCCAAAGCCCTTCTAATGGGGTGCTCTGAATGCTTCCAGATGTTTGTTTATTTGTTGTGCAGCAACTGTAAAGCAGTTTGCTCTTTGCTTGGATCTGTTCCCGTCGCTCCATTTTTTTGTTTTATTTTATGTCATTTTTTCTTTTTCGGAAAAAAAGAAAAAATGACAATGCAAAAGTGAGGTTCTGCTGGAGTTTTGGTGTGGATAACTGTTGACGTGAAATAAAATCCAACTTTCAAAGAAATGTGAGGTGCCCCATGGGTGTCATCAGGAAGAAGTTTATTTTTCCTCTTTTTTTCCACCTCTTTAAACACAGTTTTCTTTTTGAGATTAAAAAAAAACCTCATCTGTGCACATTTTAAACTACATATAAATTAGCTGAACATACATATGTAGTAGCTGAAAGGATTGCAAGACATATTTCAGAGAATCTTTCTTTGTCTGTTTACTCCATTTACTAAATATGCCCTGAGTAAAAGTGCTTCATATAAGGAAAAAAGGTTGTGACTAGTGTCTAGCATAATAGAACAAGTGAATAATTTAATTGCATTTAGCCCTTTAGTTACATCTATATAATTAATCTTATTTTAAAAGCAAAATATATTGTAGTCAGATAATAAAAACATCTTGAAATTATGAAACTATCCATTGCTTTTAAATAGGACATCTGTGATGTCCATAAATACATTTATTACAAAAATACATTAATAACCACAAACTCAAAGGTTCCTCTTGAATGTTTACTTATGTAAATTAGCTGTATCAGCTTTGTTTCTGTGTCTGGAGCCATTTGACTACAGCTGCCGTCTGAATAATTTGACTTCCCTTCCAATCACGAGATGTGAAGCATTAGTTTAAAGTAAGTTTTTCGGACCAAATAACATGGATTTTTACAGATTAATAGAATTAAAGTAGTATGTGTCTATGCAAGAACATTTTGACCGCTAGAGTACTGCAATGCTTCACAAGTAAAATGTTTCATTTTTCTTTTTTAGAAAAATGAGACATGTACGATCCCTACACATTTGTCAAATAGTAACGGAAAGAATTAGAAGTGCTGGTGCATATTTGTGTGTTAAAAAGTGACAACATGTTTTTATTTTCAAATGCTTTCTTTTTTTGTAGTAAATAGTCATTTGCCACAGGGATGAATAACAAGGAGATTTTTCTATAGGTGCTTTCAAATCTGTGTGTAGGAAGCCCATTGTGTATGATGCCTATTGCTTTCTGATGACATTTCTTCTTTCTTTTCTCCATGTAAACATTGGAACATCATTACTCTCGGGCCACTTTTGGCTGTCTGGGGCTCATGTTTTTTTCTTTTTTTTATTTGAATATGTTTTGGAATTTGTATTGTCAATATGAAGACTCCATTGTGAACAACAAGTCCAAATACAACTGGAGAAGAAAGGCACATCTCCCTTATGTGGTATATATTAAAAAAAAAGCTATCGTGGAAATAGAAAAGAATGCAGTGTCATTGGCCATGGGTTAATCGTACGGTACATACCATTCTTTGTGTAAGCGTAGTGTACTTTAGGCAGAGACTCCATTTTCTACAGCTAGATTTAGAGTTAAGCTGGCAGTTGGACCAGCACCAAGAGTTAGAGTCAAGGTGACAGTAGGAGAAGATCCTCAGGCCCCTCTGCCAGACTGTGTACTGCATTCTATGTCACGCTTTCACCAAAGTACACTAAAGCCTCCCCCCATTCTCCTTCACTTTGGCTTTTTGCCTAGTTTTCTCTATCTTAATGTCTAATCTTCAACATTTAATGCTCCTTTTCTTTGTGACTTTTCTTGTTTGCCTTTTTCCAATTATTTTTTGCGATGAAAAAGTATACTTTTTAGTCTATAACCAAACCAAAAACACCTTTCCTCTGTTACCTGTCAGCTCTTGTCTCTGTTGCCTTATTTTAACTCCTCCAGGTTGATTCCTTCACCAATCACGACAAGAATTGTGGCCATGGTTTCTACCCCTCTCTCTCGGGCAGTGACCTGCCAGTGCCGCCCTGCTCTGAGAGCTTGTTGCTGCTGTAATTACCTCTGGCACCCAGGCTCTGGGGCTTCCACACAGGTGACACGGTGGGTGCAGACGTCTGAGAGGAGGAAAGAGAGGTTCTTTCTGCGCTGTCCAGAGGAAGGATGTCAGAAATGGTGCAATAAGGGTAGAACTAGATGGCCTCCCTATTACTCTTTCAAAATTAACTTTTTAAGCAACTTTGGTCACTTTTACATATTGTAATAAAAAAAAAAAAACAGATTTGAATGCTGAGTTACTAAACGTATGCTATAGTAGGCACTGATCACAAAGTACCTCACAAAGCTGAAAAAGCAGCAATGACAAGAGAATAAACATATTAAGTGTGACTAAAAAAACAGAAGCAAAGCTGAACAGCTAAATGTAAAATGTGTCCAGAGACAAAAACATTGCAGTAACCTACTTAAAATCCTGCTGCATTTTGTCTGCCTTCTATTGTTTACATCCAGGTTTTAGCTGAGTAAACACAGAAGAATTACTGTCTGAAAAATGTTCTCTGTTAACGCAACGTTTTTGGCATTACTTTGTTCCCTCTAAATGAGAACAAGCTGTGACCATCTACCTCACACAGTACAAAAACCTGCAAAGTTTAGGAGAGGATAAATAAGTGGAGTGGAAAAAAAACCCAAAAACTGCTGGGGTGGGGGCTTCCGGCAGGGACATGAAACGTAGGTGAAGGACAAATATGAGGGTTGTGTTATCTAAGACTGCAGCACCACAGCATAAAAATAACAAATGAAGACTGTCGTTGTTGCTCACATCTAAGACAGAGGGGAGAAATATTCCACGTGTCAGATCCTTTCACCTTTAAATGGGCTGTTCTTAACAGGTCTGATTTTGACAAAGTACAAGGCATCTCTGTACTCGCATCTCGCAAGAGCTGCCACTGTCCTGGGTTTAACGACACAGATCTGTCCTTGGTACAACAAATGGGGCTGTTAGTTTACTCTGTGTAGGGCAGAGACACTCACTGCTAATAAGTCATTCAGTCAGTGGTGGTCAGCTCATTACAATAGCCACCATAAAAGACAGAATGAACCAGAATAAACTTTTACTTTTGGCAGAAACTGTTTAAAAATCTTTAACATGTTAAGATTTTTCATGAGCGCATGAATGGAGTATCATAAAACATCTAGCTGAGATGATACACCTTACGTTCATAAGAGTGTCTTTTGCTCTGTCTTAAAACTGAAGCAGTAATGGTGTTTTGTGTTTTCACAAAATAAACTGTTTTTGTGACTCTAATAGGCTTGGCGCTTCATGTGTTTTAACCAAGTATAATTAAATGCAGCACAGGCTCATGAACAAATGAGTTAGCTTGTTAACGTTAGCACTGCTGGCATCTGTAACTGTAACCTAGTCACAGGATTCTCACAGCGATTAGATCATCTCACAATTTCATATTTTCTCCTCACTCAAGCGGGTGGTAATCCACAGTAATCTGTGGATTGCTGGTTTGAGATCCCACCCTGTCCATCTCTGTTTTGTTTATGGACAAGACAATTCATCTTGTCATTGATGAATTGTCTGGTGGTGGTCAGAAGGCCCCGTGGCGCTGCTGTATGGGATACTTACATCTGTCAGACTGCTGCAGGTTACAGTCCAGTTGGTCGCTGCCATCAGTGTGTGAATTGGTGAATGAGTGAATTTAGTGTGAAGTGCTTTGAACTTGATAAAGCACTATGCAAGTACAGAATATTTACCAATTATTTTCGAACCAAGAGAAAAGAAAACTTCAAAAATACCTTATTTATGGTAGATATTATAACTCCATAGTCCCATAACCCCCCAAAATTAACTTACAGGCAGCAACTGATTTTAATTTGCTATGAAAACAAATTTAGTGCATAGAAACTGCAATATAATCATACAAAATCTTTCCACATAATATTAACTGAAACAAATGTTCAGATGAATACAAACTAGAAAATTGACATGTTTTTCAGAATGGCATGTAGAAAATCATGTCTGCTTTAGGTTAATCTTACATATGAGAAATGCATTATCAACTGGAATGAATAACCAATGCTTTTGAATTGTATTCATTCTTACCATAAAACATAGTTTAAGCTCAGAAGATGACCTTCAGGATTGATTTACAACATTGTGTATTTTTAATGAATATGATGAGTGCACTGTCTGATGTTGAGAAGTTACTATATAATTACAATAACTGACTACACTCAGTCAAGGTGAGGCCTAATCAATGTGTAAGTCTACAAATCAAGGATGCTTCATCTTGTGGTAGAAGTCTGTGCACCAACACTCAGATTTATTCCCACTATCAACACATCACACAGACAAGATGAGATCAATAAGAATAGATAACATAACTTCAGCACATGCTCAAGTTCAGCAGATTCCCACCCTCTTCAGCTGGTAGGGGTATGCCCCACATTTACATAATCCAAGAGCCTTGGCCCTCGATGAAGAATTTAATTTATGATGTTTCAGGGTTTGCCTTGTTTAATTTGATATGAGAACAGTCATCCTAACTAAAAAGTAAAAAAAAAAAAATAGGCTGATCGATTTGTCTTACCTTTGTGGTTTCTGGCATCTCTGGATCCTCGAGGCAGAGGTGTGTAGGGCAATGGGTGATTCTCTAATCCTGCCTCATTAGGCAGCTTGGAGAGACAAGAAAGAGAAAAGTAGCAAATGCTTAGGACAAATCAGGTATGGCAAGTATTAATGTAACCAGAGTCCGGATATCACAGGTTTGGGCATGTTTGAACTACTATAGCTGAATTAGAAAACATATGAATCACGCCTTCCTGGAAGGTTTAAACATTGTCTTCTAAAAACTCTTGCTCTTGCTGAAACTCTGCCTTCAGGAAGTCATCACAAAGGTGCTTCTCCATTAACCCTTTCACATTATTCACAATTCACAAAGAAGTAGTTAGTATAATGAGCACAGTTTCACCAGAGATTTGCTAATTACTGCTGGCTAGTCTGAGGGAGTTTGCAGGGAATGGCTGCTCTGTGAGGCAGAATGTCAGGAACTGCAGCTCCAAGAAGTAGGTGTCCATCCAGGCATTTTGCACAGCTGAATGGCTGCTACTGGAGATTACAGGATTTCTCAAATATGTATGAAAAAGTCAAAGCAGCATTCCAGGTATTTTGATAAGAAACATGACGTAAAACCCAGAAAAGCTGGTTTTACATAATACTGCCTCTTTAAAACGTTATACATCAGGCCTATTAGTAGACACTATGTGAACTATGTGAGCTTTTGATTAATGATTCTTTGTAGTCAAAAGAGCTTTGGGATTTCAGAAAACAAATTTGAACATGAAGTCAGAGAACTTCAACACTTTGCTTATTGAGGAGGATTTACATTAAAATACAATAGTATTTTCTCCTCTTGTTTAAATGTAAAGACACCTTATTCAACGGTCCACAATTAAATGTCAGACAATCATCTATATGAACTCCTGAATGAACATTTAAACACTTAAACAATTGTGATTTTTTTAAATTGAAAAAAATTAATGGTCTTCGCCAATGCTCATGTTAATAGTGTTTGTTTTGTTATTCTTTGGTGCACTTTCAAGGACCAAAACATCCTCCTTCTTCCCCTTAGCCTTTTAGCCCATGGAGCAGGCAGTTTATCGTGACACAGTGATATCTGATGCCTTTGCAAAAATACTTTCCTTTTCTGCAGGAAGGAATTCACAAGGCCTTTAATCATAGCAGGAGACTTAAATGACAAATACCTATTAGAAACTGTTTGGAGCTGCATTTTTCCCCCCACCTCCTTTATTGTTGTTCCCAAACATGCCCATGCATAACCTTGAAAAATGGAACGGTCGGTGCTGTTAAATGGAACCATATTCTTCATGGCCAAAAAGAGTGCTGTACATTGAAAACAATCACATAATGTGCTTTCAGATAGCATCTCTGATAAGCATTAAGTTTCGGCCAGCATGTGCCTTGTATTACACTGAGAAGAAGAATGACAACATGCCTTATTTGAGGCCTTCCTGCATATCTGCAGGGATGTTTGAAAGAAACTGTCTGGAATAGAAATTTTGTTTTGACAGCAAACCCACAACTCTCAGCCTCTGGAGTGGCTAAAACTTGATAAGTTACACCAAAGCTCGCTCACTGCTCGCGTGAGGTACTTGTGTGGAATGAGTAACACAAGCAGTAAACAACACAAAATGACAGCATACAGTGCTAAATAAGAACTGCCAGCTCTGATTTGAAAAAAAAAAAAAAAAAAAAAAAAAAAAACGGGCAGTGTCGGTTTAATTCAGTACCTGCACATTAGAGACTGTAGTAAGCTTCACCCTGCTGCAGACAATCAGCAAGATCCATCAGCTTTACAAAAAAACAAACTTTCTAACTTGTGCTTTCTGACGTTTGGCTGTGAGGATATAATTCCTTTTGGCAGTCACAACAAACGCAAAGTGTTTATGTCAATTATGATGAGTTGAAATGAGTAATTCAGGCACTAAGATAGGAATTGTGAGCCTTGTCTTTCCAATCTACCTCCACACATCTCTGAACCACAGGGTTGAGCCTTTGCTTGTCTGATTTCCTGATCTGCTTGAAAGATCACAAGACATGGCATCTCCAGGCCTGCTTGGCCCTCAAAGGGACCTCCTAATCCTGCTGCTTGGCCACAAATATTCATCCTAAGTGCCACATTATTAGCAGCACCACAGAAAGACTAAACATGTGGATTAACAGAACTGGACAACTGGAATAAGATGAGTATTATATGAAACTTATTACAACTGATTTTAGGCCATTCAGGTCCAGAATAACTTTAGCTCCTGTCATATTTTTCAGTTCCTATAACATTGAGTTTATTAACTCAATGTTATAGTGAATTAACCGAACTGTTTGTATCACGGTGCTATTTGCTGTGGATAGGTGATATATAAATAAAATGAGTTGTAGCGCTTGTATGTTGTCCAGCTGATAGTTGAACCTCCACCTCTGCCTTAAATCTTAGGTCTTTTAACCTTTCTTCTGGATCTACTCCGACTTCCCATTTGCTTGTTTATGCTGTCCTGGCTGACAAAAACCATTCCCACAGCATAATGCTGCCACAACTATGTGAACACGACAATGTGCTACTTTGTGAAACACAAGTAAAGAAATTGTTTCTGTTTCATAAAGTATTTTGTACAGCAAAAATACCATTCTGTTCTGGAGTGATAAAATATCTGAATTTAATTACAGACTTTAATGCTTGAGAACTTTTTGGCATTTTCAGGGAATCTGCATACAGCAATTTTCAACTCTTGTCACAAATATTTATTGGATTTAAGTTGGACTTTGACTGAGCCACTCGAATGCATACATATCATTTGATCTAAACCATTACACTGAGCTGTGCAGTGAATGATTAGGGTCAGTATACTGCTAGAAGGTAAGCTTTGCTAGAAGGTAAGCTTTGGCTCAAGCCTCAATGTCTTTTGCAGTGCTTAACAGGCTTTCTCCTGATTGCCCACCTTATGAAAACGGAAAAATGGAAAACTGTGGATCTTTTTTCTTTTTTACAATGTAATGTATTTCTTTGTTTTGGTGCATGAAATTAAATCCAAATAAAATTTATCCAAGTATGTGGATGTACCATGACAATATGTGGAACTCTTCTGGGTGTGTTAACCCTTCCAAAAGGCACTATATGAATCGTTTCCCTCGTCTCATCTGTTATGAGTCCTTTAGTTGTGCCAACTCTGAACAGAGGGAGGTGCTGCTGTGTCGTCTATTTAAGACTCTCCCCGAGTCCCCTTCTCCTCGTTCAGTCTCTCTGCTGTCCAGATTAGTCTGCTCATCAAGCTGAGCATTGTTTTAATTTGCTGGGCCTGGGGCATATGCTGAGTGTTCACATCATTATTGTCTCTGTGCAATGTGAGTTATCACCACAGCTTATGATAATGTGGCACAAATTTACAGGCTGGGGAGCGCCATGGATTCTGAGATAATAAAGACTGGACAGGGGAACGGAAGGAGGGAGCGAGAGAAATGAAGAAAGTGTGTGAGGAAGAGACACAGAAAAAGGTGGCAGGAAAAGAGAGAGAGAGAGAGAGAAAGAGAGAGAAGCTCTGTTGGATGTCATTATGAAAGATGATTCCCATGCAGGATAATGCATCACACCAGTCCTGTCTGTCTTCTGTTTTTTCACTGTTGTTATGTGAATAAATGCTGATAAACCCGGAGGCAATAGTGATTATTAGTTCCAACATATCACCATGAGAGAGGGAAGCAGCAGGAAGAGAATGACAGGGGAGGAGTAGAGACAAGCAGATCACAAAGAGAGAGCCTACCACCTCCAAGCTGGAAATCTCGAAACTGTGTGACACAAAAATGTAAGTCAGAAAAAAACTGATAGATGTTGGCAAAGTTGGCAGTAAATTAAAAATCATGATTGGAGTTGTACAACTGTATGTCATGTTAGCTTGAGATAAATTAGTAATATTTGTCTAGAGCCTTTGTGGAGTTGACTGTCACTGGAAAAGCACATAAAGTATAAAGTTTACATCACATTTAACTCTCTTCTTCCTTTTTAGGAATACCCGGCTCTGAAGTCTCCCCCCTCACTCTGACCGGCTCATCCTGACACAGCTGGTTCCTGCCTTGCCTCACCTCTTCTCTCTCCTTTAAGACTGACCAGCAATACAATCTAATTACAGCCGCGCTACAGAGGGAGACCAGTGTAAACACCAGGCCTTTTTATCTCCTTATACATCTGGACAAGTAGACAAAGTGCTAAAAGGAAATAAATGTGGCCTGAAAGCCACATCAAAGAGTTCAGCCAGAGGCTTACTGCTACTTAGGGCACAGGAATGTTGTTGCTAAGCATCAACCCGCAACCTATCAGGGTGCAAAGAGGGCCCTGTCCTGCCGAAGAGAGGGAAAAGAGCAGAAGAGGGGAGAAATGACGAAAAGGAAGAGGGAGGGGTAGCAAGTATAAAGAGGGGGAGGGAGAGGAGTAAGGGGCTGACATTGAGGGGAGGCTAGGGACTCAAGGAGAATTTTGTAGCTTAAAGCAATTGTTGGAAGAAACAAGCCTTCTGTTTTGTTTTCTCTTGACACCATTTCTGCTTTTTGTGCTTGCAAAAGACATGTAGAAAAATGTCTTTTGATATGTTTTCTCTTTGGGTCTATATCAAAATATTTCTTTTGTGTCTGTGCATGGAACTTTTTTCACATCTTGTCTCTATAAACTGGTGCTCCTTTCTGATCATGTTAGAGATCAGAGGAGACGCAACTTGTGAACTTATTTGAGTCAACATTTAATGTGAGCATGGCATGTTCACTCCTCAGCTAAAAGGGATTTGTATATGATGCATGTCTTGTACTTCTAAAGCAAGAGTTACAGACAACCAAACAATGTAAAAAAAGAATGAAACTAAATAAGTTTGGGGGAGTCGCAAAAACATGGAGTGGCAATGAAAGGCCAAAGTGCTCATATTCATTGAGGAAAAAATACAAATAAGATCCAGCTACAAATAAATCCAGCAAAGTAAAATACTCCTGGAGGCAGTTGTTTGCATTGGGTATGACCCCTTAAGAATGTTAGTAGTACAAACAATTCAACTAGGTTTTTACATCCACTTCAAAATATTTGATGCAAGCAAGAGACATTCACTCCTCTGCCAAAGCTGAT